CCTTCTCCAGAATGCTTAAAAAGACAGGCAGTTTTGTCTGCTCCAGACGGCTTTAGTGTAAATTGCTACCCCATTACCTTACTTGGAGCTCTCCTGAGGTAGGACCCAGTTCCTCTCCTTCCTCTTATATTTGCTCCGACATAATAAGAAATATATATATTGATCTCTGCTCCCCTCCTTCTTAATACAGAACTCTTAAAACCCTTGAAATTTCCTGGGTGATAGACGTGTCTTTCGTTCTAAAGACCTGACTCTTGGTGAGCTCCTGGGTGGCCCCCGGGTGGGAGCTGATCACCAGAAAGATCAAGCTGTGATTAGAAGCTTGGAACTTTTAGCCCCACTCCCTCATCCTCTGGGAAGGGGAGGGGATTGGAGATTGAGTTAACAATCCATCATGCTCACTGAGGAAGTCTTCATAAAAATCCCTGAACTGCAGGGTTTGGAGAGCTTCGGGATTGGTGAACACATCCACGTGCAGGGAGGGTGTTGTACCCCAATTCTACGGGGACAGAAGCTCCTGCACTCAGAACGCTTCTGGTCTTCGTGCTAAGTATCTCTTCAGGTGGCTGTTCATCTGTATCCTTTATCATATCCTTCATAATAAACTATTAAACATAAATAAATGTTTCCTTGAGTTTTGTGAGCCATTCCGGCAAATTATCCTCCATGAGGGGGGATGGCGGGAACTCTCAACTTTGTAGCTAAATCGGTTAGAAGCATGAGTATCCTGGGAACCCATTACTTGTGACTGATGTCTGTAGAGAGGGCAGCTTTGTGGGACTGAGCCCTCATTCTAGCTAGTTAGTGTCAGAAGTAAATTAAATTATAGGACACCCAGTCGGTGTCCAGAGAGCTGGAAAGTTGGTTGGCATGGGGGAAAAAAACAACATATTTGGTGTCAAGAGTGTTGTAAGAAGAGAAAGTTTTCCTTTACCCCTAAACCAACCCATGGGAACTTTTCCTTAGAAAGGTTTTACTGGCAATTGCTATAATGGAAAACAGAAGGGATAACAAAATAATAAGACCAGGAATGTGACAGCGTTTTGAGTAATTTTGCAAAGATCTTAACAGTTGCTGACTTCTAGCTTAGACATCAACCTGAACCCCTCCAGATTCCTTCCATCTAGATCATCATGTCAAGTGGGCTTTCCTGGCTAGCTCCTCCTTCCACCGGAACCTTCTATCAAGTACAGAAACTGTGTCGAAGCCCCCGCTCTGGACCCTTCACCTTGGATTCCTTTCAGTCTGCAGTTGGCTTCTGAAGAAGTCATCCCCGCCTCTCCCTGAAGGAAAGGATGAGGAAGCCCCTTCTTCTCTAAACAGCAACCGATACCAAATAATCATCTACTAAAGTTTAAACCATAACTATACCTAGAAACCCAGGCTGTTAAAGCTAGAGAAGTATCCTAAAGGAACATTAAATATTAAATCTAGCTTTCTCACTTCGAAGAAAGGAAATAGGATTCCAAGAGAGAATCTCAGATCCGAGACTAATCCAGTCTCCGATTCCCAGCTGGTTTGTTATTTGAAACACATCCCACCCCTTCCCTGCATGTCTACTTGCTAATATCGTCAGACCAAAACAAAACTGATATCTGAAGTGAAAAACATTCTCCAAACAAAATGAAACTTTCTCTCAGGAAATTTGGGGTTTCCTCCTAAGGCAGGTGTCTGGCTTCCTCTGCATGATGGACCCTCTGGCTCTCCTGTGCCTCACTCCCTCACCACGGTGCAGCCCCAGAGGCCTTCTCTCTCAGGCCCTCCTGTGCACCCGCTCCATCTGGCCCCCAAGCCCCAGACCACTACTCTCCTGATGAAAGGTTCCCATCCCCCTTCAACTGGGCTGTGTCCCATTCTCGACCAGGCTTTCCCTGGTCACTCTACCCCATACACCCACACACACCCAGACCGCAGTTCTCCTTCTTAGCGTCACTTCATCTCTTCTTGGCACTTACCACATCTGCCACTTTCCTTTCTCTTCGCCTTTGACTTGTTTGCTCTGTCTCCTCAGCTAGCTGCACAAAATAGGGCTGTTTCTATCCTAGTCACTGTTGTATCGTAGCCCCTAGCACCATGGCTGGCACATGGCGGGTATTCAGTAGATATAGGGAAAGTGTTCATAGATGAGATGACGTCACAGAGGCAGGACACGGATTTTAAATACTTACAACTTTATTAGGAGTAGGCTGTTGTCCCCGCAGCAGCCAGCCCCCATGTATACACAGTATACACAGCCCACCAGGTCCTGCCATCCTTCTGCAGTATATGGAATGCAAAAGAACCAAACACAAAACAGGGGAGCTCTATAAATCAGTGTCTAGTGCCTTCCAGAGCCAACTCCCAGGCTGGCAACGCTCAAGTCTCTCCACCTGTCCTCAGCTCCCACTCCAGTATGGCAAGGCCCAGAAGTTTGAACTCCTTCAATCAGTGCACACAATGGGCAGAGGAGGCAGGGGGCTCCTAAGCCCAGATCCTTTCTGGTCCACACCCCACAGAAGAAGTTGCTGGAGCCCTCACAATGTTCCTCTCCTCCCATAGACATTAGATGCCATCTTAACTGTTTTATTCCATCACCAAAAACCTGTGCCTTGAGGCTTGTTTCTGCTCAGCCTTGGATAGCATGGTGGGATTAGTGAAATGGTTAAAGATAGGACAAACCTCTCAAGTTGTCTTAGTCATACTTCTTTTAAAAAGGAAAAAAAATTAAAAAGAAAAACATCATGACAGAAAAGAGCATTAAGACCAGCTTGTGTTAAGAACAAGATTGGTTGTCCCCCTTGAAATGATTTATAAAGCCACTCTGCTAGGGGACCAGGCACCCCCACTGATGGCAGCTCCCTTCCCACCCGCCCCATTCCCTGGCCCATTCTGCACAGCCCCCATGCCACCCTATCCTCACCGAGGATGGGTGCACCAAGCACAGGGCGCAGTGCTGTCGTCGGCTAGCGGGACCCGCATTTGGCCTGGCACCCCGGGTTCTTTGTGCCCTGCAGCCCCGCAGTGTTCACTCTTGCACAGAGGAGGAATCTGCCTCACTTTGCTCTTCCAGGAATACTGCAGCTCTGCCTCTAAGATCTGCACACCCTCTGCCCTGCCGTAGGAGCTCTGCTCAAGGGCCCAGCCCAGAGTTAGACTGGGATTAGAACACCATCATGGAGGCCTGCCTGGCTGACTGGCTGGCTGGTCTATGGATTCTGACTCTTAGGGGAAACCAAATAAAAGACACTTGCCCTGATGTCACCTCTCTGAAATCCAGGACTCATTACCTACACTCGGAAGCAGAAATCTCCCATGTACCCACTAGGGTAGTTGTACCCTCAAATACCCTGCTTGGCCAAAGGATCTCTAACCCCAAAACATATTCCCACTTAGAGATATAGAAAATGCCCTGGTTGCTACTCCCCTAGCATGTCTCCGAGACTGACAAGTCTCCAGCAGTTCCTACTGGTGCTGCCAAGGGCTCCTGGGTCAAGTAATTGATTCTTGGTATCTCCTGACCTGTTCCCATGGCACCCAGAAGAAAGAGACCCTGTCTTTGTATTTTGAGCCACAATGAGTGGCCAGGTTGTGGAGAGCAGGAAGCCATACACCCAAGCTCATCTTTGTGTCTGGGCAGCTCAACCTACAGAGGACAACATCCAGGTCTTCTGGAAGCACCAGGTCACCACTGCCCCAGGGGAAGGGACAAGGGTGGGATCCCAGAGAGCACAGCCAGAGGTAGCAAATAGTGAACCCCATTTTCCAACTGCAGAAATCGGGATGCAATGTGACATATGCCCAAAGCCAAACTGCATGGAGTTGTCTGAATGAAGACCAACCTGCAGGTACATGGATATTCAGCATCCAGCCCTCCTGGGCTTACCTCTTGCCCTCTTAGTGGGCATAGGACCATGGCCACTTGAAGCTTCTCTGAGGCAATGCAGAGCCTACAGCATCAGCCTAATTTATACCTGTCTCTCTGGAGGAAGAAGCCATCAGAACTGGGGCCTCCTCTCCACCCCAAGGTGACATTCTTCCAAAGCTCAAACCTAGCCCCAGTGACAGGCAGAACCCTCTAGATCTCTTTTCAAACTCCTTGCTTTAGCCACAGAATCCATCTTCCCTTATAAGTTTAGGCATCTTTTTCAATAGTCGGATCCCTCTTTAAGAAGACAATAGGTTCCCTATTGACTTCCTATCTCTACCCGCCAAGTCTCAGAGGACACCTACATGAAAACCCTTCCACTTGTGTGGCATCCTGGATGACACAGGGAGACGAGGTGGCTCTTTAAGGAAGTACCAAGAGTAGAAGGAAGATGAGGAAACTCAGAACCCCCCTCTACATTAATGTATTTTCAAACAGAGTGGCCCAGGCTGCAGGTATATCACCCCCACTCTCCCCTCAGCTCCTGCTCACCAGCCACTCATTTTTATTGTTCAGTCCATGTCAGTTAGAAAAGGAAAGCGGGCTAAAAGCACCTTGTTCAGAGATGGCTCAGAGCCCCCTGCAGCCACCTGAGGGTGCCAAGCTGCTGGGCCATGGCTCTTCCAGCAGCCTGTAGCCTCCCTTACGGGGGCCAAGGTCCCTGAAGTTCTGCCTGGGAGGTGCCCGTCCTCCAGGTCCTTTGGAAACTGGGCCCCAGCCCCAGCACCCACTTGCCCAGCACCCGCACCTCTCAGCCTCTCCCCGAGACTGGGCTCCAGAGGAGCCGGGCGTGAGGTAGACTGTGCATTAGTTACTCAGCTCCCCTCCCAGGCCAGGGAGGAGGAGGGAACCACTCACCCCCACCCATGATCCTTTTCCCTGGATGTGGTGACATTGTGGCATGGGCCCCTGGATGCTGCCCTCTGCCCACAGCTCCAGCTGGCCAGAACACCGACAGCACCAATGGGGTGGACAGTGAGGAAGAGAAAGGTATAGTCCTATTCAGCATGGCCTCAAGATGCAGAAGTCTAGTTCTTGGGGCTTCCGGCGCAGGTTGCACTGGTCCCGGGCCAGCAACCGTCCTCCATGACCCAAACACTTGAGTGAACGTCTCTTAAATCCTCGGCCACAGCTTTTGGAGCAGGGTGACCAGGCGCCGAGCTCCCAGGTTGGGCAGGGGTCCCCACAGGCTCGCATCTCCACTGGCCGATGAGTCGCATCGCAGGCAGATGCTGTGCGCTGCCCCAGGGAGCCATGACAGACCACTGCCCGCTTCTGCAGGCCACTGCCACAGCTCATGGAGCAAGGCCCCCAGCTGCCTGCCACCCAGCGTGCAAGGGGCCTGTCATCCGGCTGCTCCACTTGATTGGAGAGGCTGAGGACGCTGTTGTGGAGCACGGAGGGGGCCCGGGGATCCTTGGGGTGGGAGGACTTGTCCTCCCGGGGCTCTTTGGGCAGATAGAATGAGTAGCGGACCCGTGGTGGTGTCATCTTCCCCACAGAGAGGACCTCCACAGTCAGGGGCTCCAGGATGGGCCGGGAGGCCTGCAGGCTCTCCACCGCTGTCCCTGTGCCACTGTAGCGCAGCAGGCTGCCCTTCACCACCAGGTCCCGCTCCATAGGTGACACCACAAAGTGCCCATTGAGCAGGTACTTGCCTTGGCTGTTCTTTAGGGCAAGGTAGTTGTCATCTCCAATCAGCCCTTTGTAGCCACGCTGGCGGATATCAATGCTTGAGGCACCTGCAGGGATGGCCACCACGAAATTGTAGCCGTGCCTGTGGTAGGAAAAGAATTGTGCATTACACAGATGCCTGGACATTAGGACCTCATTTCCTCTAAAGTCATAACTGATAGCCCTTTCACAATGCCTGGGGTAGGTCATGAAGATGACAGAAAACAATGACTAACAGGCTGCCTCAGAGGACCATGGAGGCATACAAGCTGAAAGGCAGAAGGGAGATTGTCATCAGGTCATCTGAAACTAAATATGCTGGCTGTATTGCCTCATGATCTTTTTCCTTCGATACATTTATATTCTGGTGAATTCTATCATGGGAGTAAAAGCAGAGTGTTGGAGTCAGAGGGATCCCTACCACACACTTACTGTTGGCCTTAGATAAGTTACTTAGCTTCTCAGTTTCCTCACCCATAGATAGAGCTCATAATCATACATATCTCATCAAACTGTAATTAGGATTAAACAGCTACAGCACATAAAGAATGAAGCATAGTACCTGGCACACAGTAAGCACTCAATAGATATGATCTATTTGGAGAAGGAAGATGAGGAGGGAGAGGAAGAGGGAGGAGAGATAAGTCTGCAGTCCCTGAGTCCAAGTGGGGCTGAGGCCTTCATGCAGACTGGCCCTAGAGTCAAGGGCCCAAATCAAGCCTTGACTAGGACACCAACTCCCTGGTGGCTTTAAGAAAGTCAGTCTCTCTGGGTCCTGGTGTCCTCATTTATACAATGAGCAGTTAAACAAGCTGATTTCAAAGGTTCCTTCCAATAGAAACCCCTGCCATTTAACCAGCGAAGCAAGTCTGGAGATATCAACCTTTGATTCTTCACTTGACCTCCCTACTACAGATCCCTGTGAAGGAAAGCCTAGGACACCACCTGCCTGCAGTGTCCAAGCTACCAGAGAAGTTGTCCACTTCAGAGCTCAGCATGGGGCCCTGTAACCAGGAAGCAGGGCAGGGGGTGCGGTGGGGGTGCCTACTCAGCCAAGGCTCCTGGGCAGCCATCATCAGCACCTGGACTCCCAGGTTTTCAGAGCCAACCGTACCTGCCTCTGAAATGAGACCTCGAAGGCTCTGCCTGCCCCAGCTGCTCCCAGAACATGGGTCAAGACTTTCAAAGGGGCATATTCCTCTGGAAAAATTAAAAGATAATGTGCTGGACCTCAGAAAGCACAAGCTGGGGAGCCCCAAGCCCTGGAGTTGGGACTAAAAGAAGCCCGGAGGCATTTTTTCTGCTGATCCCAGCACAGGTCTCCCAGGAAGCGGGGAGTCCCTCAGTCCTAGCTTCTCACTCTGCCTCTCTCTATAGTTTAGTGCCATTCTTACTTTAATCTGGTCCCCAAGGCCAGAGCCTCAGGCTCATAAATAAGGGGAGGCAGTCACATTTTGCCTCCAGCACAGGTACGTTTTGTTATCGTCATCATAAACATTTAGAGAGCATTTATTATGCATCAGGTACTACGTGAAGCATTTTACTTGGACTAACTCCCTAAATCTTCACAGCAGCACTACGTGAAATATATTAGTGACATGCTCATTTTATAAGTAAAGAAATCTATTATTCTAGAGGATGCAGCACTTGCCCAACATTACCCAGAAAATGGGGGACTGAGATCGAACCCATTATCCTAGAACTCTAGACAGACCCTAACAACTCTCTGCCATCTCCCTGAATAACTATTCTCTGTTAAATGGTGTCCTCCTCAAGCATTCATCTTTGCATTCATCTTTGTTTGCTGAATGAATGAATGAATGAATGAATGAATATCATACTCAGAGAAGAGTGTGAGTGGCCTCTACAGCAAGGGTACTGGCCAGGATCTGACATATATTCCAATCTAACACCAGCTTCCAATGCCTGGACAAAATGCTGCTCACCCCTTCTCCCCGCTGCACCCTGGCCTCACCCTTCGGGTCCCAGAACTCACATGGGCTTGGTGAAGAGTCCCGTCACCTTCTTACAGCTCTTGTTGTCTCCCCCACACACCCCACATTTGTCAAACTTCTTCTTTGAGCCCAGATTCCCATCACAGCCAGCCTTGATGCATTTGCCCTGGACACAGACCGAGGTTGAATCAGGGGTACACAACGTTCCATCCACCACCTGCAGTGCCCCCAAAACAGGAAAACAAAAGGAGAGAGGATTAACTCAAATGGGTTGTCTCCCCCAAAACCTTGAACCTGTTCTGACCTTTGCCCCAGGCTTGCTCACCTTGGGTGCCAGCACGTAGAAGTAGCCAGTGCCATTGGCTCGGCAGATGAGCTTGCACTTGTCCTGAGGAGACACGCCTGAGTACTTGGGCACCCACACCACAGCGAGGGTGAGCCGGTTGGTGCTGTGGTTGTAGCCATTGAAAGCTTCACACTGCTCCTCACGGAAGCTCTTGCCAGAGGCTGGGGAGGGAGAAAGCAAGAGCAGGAAGCTAAAGGGAAGGGCCGAGGTGGGGGCAAAGGAGAGAGCCTTCCCAGGGTGCTCAGCCTCCCGTGGCTCTAAACAGCTCCTCCTCAGCCTCAGTTGAGTGATCCTCAGGCCTGAAGCCACCCCATCTCAAAGGACTAAAGCAGACTGAGACCACAGGATGAAGGGCACAGATTGTAATGCATCTCCCAGGTACTGTGCCACCTTCTCCAGGAATCTGGTCTTAAACCCCCCGCTATAACAGGTATCCTAATCCTTTACGCTATAGAACCCTTCAGCAGTCTACTGAAAATATTTTCAGAATGTTAATAAATGCATAAAATAAATTACATAGACTACAAAGAATACCAATTATATCAATTTACAACTATTGATATCTTTCGAAACATGTTTATGATAAATGTTTCCTTATTAACACATTAAATGACAAGACTCAGTAACAAGTCTATAACCACTATCATTTTGAAGTAGTGACAAGCACAAATGGCATTTTAAGAAATCTGCCACAACTGAAATGTCATATGAAATATCCATGATTTCTCTTGGTGGCAAAGTCACTGGTACTGCTACTACTAGTATTATAGTAGTTTTTTAAAAGAAATACTAAATTTTAGATAGAACGGTTAGTAAAAAATACTAAATTTGTAATTGAAGGAAATTCTAAATTTTAAATTTAAAAAAGGTTAGTAAACATAGATATAATTTTCTTCCCATCTAACTTCATGGGCCCTGGATGAAGAATTCCTAGATGAAGATGGGCTTGGGACTACTTAACTAAGAGGACTTCTAGTGTATCATTCCCTTGAGCCATTTAACCTCCCAAGTCTAAGCATCCTGAAGAAAGCACCCTTGCCAAGGGAGTGGGCAGAGAAATGATCCCCAGAGGAATGAGCACCTGTGCAGTCCCAAGCTCTGTCCTAAGGCACAGAATCTTGACTGCAGTAGCTTTGTGGCCATGAATCACCCAGAGTGAGAGCTGTGACCACAAGCATGGCCTTTCCCAGGCCCTGGCCACCACTACTCTCCCTCCTTACCTGTGCTGGGGCAGGGTTCGAGGCTGCAAGATCGGTATTTCACCCTCACTCCCTCGCAGTACCTGCCCCCATTGGCAGGGGTGGGGTTGCTGCACTGCCTCCGGGCCAGCTGCACTCCCCCACCACAGGTGCGAGAGCAGGGGCCGTAGGGCTCCCATTTGGCCCAGGAGCCATCCACCTGTGAGGAATAATCTGTTATACTCTTGCAGAGGTCAGGGTACCACACCCACAACCTAAGTATACAGAAGGGTGACACTGGTACAGCCTCCACAGTCCCATCCCACTGGAATGAAATCCACTTGGTATCACCAGGGAAAACAAATGATCAGTGTGCAGAAGGCCCACACAACATTTCAACCTATTAATTAGCAAGACAACTGTTCTCCGGTATAAATGAGACCGCTCAAAAGAGAGGCATCTTGGGCTGTGGGGTCAGGCAGCCAAGTTCTACAGTCTCCTCTGCCCTCACCACATGGATGGTCTTGAGCAAGTGGGGAAACCTCCTTAAGTTTCAGGTCCTTCATCTGCAAAAATGGGGCCCATGATACTCAGGCGTGTGGTCAGATGGAAGATTTAAATGATGCAACATGTATGAAAATTCCTAGCACTGTGCTTGCCGTCATTTAGTTCGAAGTTTCTTCATATTTATTGTTAGTGTGTTTACAAGAGTTTTGGATCTAAGGTATGGCCAGCCCCCATTCTTGCCAATAAACCTTGTGACCATAGACATCTGAATATTTTTATCTGTAAATGTTCTATAATTCAGACTTTTCATCAAACCAGACTGATCTTAACCTCATTAGGGGGTTGAATTTGAAAAAGTTGCAGTATAAGCAGTTCTAATGTTTGTGCTAAGAGGAGATAGACATAAAAGACTATTAAGCAATCTTAGAACTCTATTTGGATTTAGGGTGAATTATGCAGTGTTGTCTTATTTTTTAAGAGGGTGGAGAGGAGATAGAAAAGTTATAGTATTCATTATGTTTTTCTTACGATGACAGTAAAGTGAGTTTTTATCCCCTGAACACACATCAGTTGGGCAATAGAGGAAGCAGCCCTGTTGTACAAGCCTGGGATTAAAATGCTGTCACAGATCATCCAAAGCCACTAACTCACATGGAGCTAATCAGGAACTGGCTACATGCAGTATAAACACTTTAACTTATGTGTATATTCAGCATATTTATTCTATCTGTCCTTCTATCAGATAGTTCTTGTTTCATTGTGTCGACATGTCTGTTTCATCCTGTAAAAAAAAAAACAAAAACACCCTTTCCCTTAGCCCTGGTTTCTCCTCACACCAATGCCCCACCTCATTCCATCCTTTCACTTCTAAGACGATGCCCCACCTCATTCCATCCTTTCACTTCTAAGAGAGTCCTCTACATTTGCTCTTTCCACCTACTCTCTGCTCAGGGTCTTGCAATACGGGTTTCATCCTTACCACACCATGGAAGCTATTCTCAGTCAGCAATGACCTTCTAAAGACCGAAAGAGTCTATGCCTAGGCCTTGTCCTCTCCAGTTTCTCTGCAGTATTTAATATTGTTTCTCTGGCTTCAAGACAATGCTGTCATTTTTTACTTGGCATCACTTCTTCCTACCCATTCCCACAAGAAACATTCATCATGTTCTTGCAATGTGCCATTCATTCGTGCATCCACCAAATATTTGTTGAGTTCCAACTACATGCCTGACACCCTGTGCAGAAAATTCCTGCCCTCAACGCTGTTGCAACCCCTAGCAGGAGAAAGTAAACAATTAAAATAAGCTTGTTCACTCAGAGTGTCAAATGAGGTTAAAAGCAGGTGGGAGAGAGATGGGGAGGACCTAGATGAGTTAGGGTACTCTGTATTATAATGAGTCACAGAGGCCTCATTTCCTGAGGTGATGTTTATGCAGAAGCCTGAAGGAAGTATTTTGAGTATTCCAGGCTGAGGGAGCAAGTGCAAAGACCTGGAGGAGGAAAGTACCTAGAGTACTCTAGGGTCACAAGAACAAGAAAAGCAAGCAATGAAGGCAGATATGGCTCATTCATTCTGAGTGAGGGGCAAAGCCCCAGAAGTGGCATGACTTGATATATTTTAAAGGATCCTTCTGGCTGCTATGGTTGGAATAGTCTGTAATAAGTAAGATCAGAAGCAAGCCAATCAGTCAGGGAGCAACTGTAATATACCACGGGAAAGGGGATGGTGGCTTGGACCAACGTGACAGCAGATGAGGTGGTAAGAAATAGTTAGATCCTGGATCTTTTTTGATGGTAGAGTCAACAAGATTTGCTGAGATATTGAATGTGAATTGGAGTTGCCAAAGAAGGTTTAGGGGAGATGAGTAGGAGCTTGGCTTCCCAGATGTTGTGTTTATGATGCTTATCAGGTATCATAAGTGATGGAGATGTCAAGATTCCATAGGACATTCAGGTCTATAGTTCAGGGAAGAAGTCTATGCTGAAGTTAGTAATGTGGGAGTCTTCAACATAGAAATATTAATAGTGTTTAAAGCCAGTAGTGTAGAGAAATCACCTAACAAGTTAGTGTGAATAGTGAGGAAGGCTAGGGACTGAGCCCTGGAGCTCTCCCACACTGGGAAAAGAAGAATGTGAGAAAAAATTAATAAAGGAAACTGAGAAGGGGCAGTTTGTAAAGGAGGAAGAAACCAAGAGACAGTGAAGACTTTGTTCCCAGAGGAGAGAGTGATCGACACACAAATGCTGCTAGCAGGTCATGTAACATGAGGAATGATGACCAATCATTGACTTTAGCAATGTAGAGTCCAATTAGTGACCTTACAAAAAGTCATTTTGGTGGAATGGCGTGAGCAAAAGCCTGATTGGAGTGAGCTCCAGAGAAAAATGGCAAAACAGGAATTGGACAGAGCAAGTTTATACAACACTTTTGAGAAACTTTGCTGTTAAAGGAGTCAGAGAACTAGACTGAGATATATAGAAAGGAAGTAGGAAATTGAGAAGTTTTGTTTTAGACAAGAAAAATTACAGCAAGTTTGTATCCTGATAGAAATGATTCAGGAGAGGGAAAAATCTGATAATGCAGAAGAGAGAGATGAGATGAGAATTGTTAGAGCATTTTCCTCAAATAGACAAGAGGGGAAAGTGTTTCAGTGCAAACCACAAAGCCTTGCCTCAGAGAAGAGCATGGACAGCTCATCCATTGTCAAGATTATATGGGCACAGAAGCAGGTCAGATGGTTGAGGTAGTGGTGGAAGTTGGTAAAAGTTCTCTTCTGATTACTTTTTTCTTAGTGAAATAGAAAGGTCACTGGCAACATGAAAATGAGGAAGAAATGGTTGATGATGAGAGGAGAGAGGTGGTGAAGGTGTGAAGTAACAGTTTAGGAGGTTGGGAAAGCGAACAAACTAGGGAAATAAATATGATAGGACTCCTGAGCAGCATTATAGACCTACCTAAGTTTCCAGATCATGAATTTAAACTGAGGTCAATAAGCACAATTGCATGTCTTTCTTCAGCCATATTCACCTATACTGACATAATCGAGTAGGTGAGAGAGTTGGATTCCCCCAGGGTGGTAGATTATCCACATGAGTATGACAAAGAGAGACAGGGGCATGAGAGTCAAAAGTGTAAGTGAAAGAATAATTTTAACAATGAACCACAGAATCCCAGCTCAATAAAGAGGTTGTTGGTGAGGCCACGAGGGGATTGAGAGGTAATGGAACAATGGTTGGATCAATAGACCATAGGTCTAGATGGGATTGAAGAATTGCTAGAGTCCAAACACTACAGAGAGTGAGTTGGGAAAATATGGCCTTGGTGGTCAGAGTGGTACTCTTGCAAACTGAGGTCACTTGGGGGCTGTGGTGGTTAGCAAGATAAGCTTTGTGTTTGACCTTGGCTGACTAGGGCAGTGTCCTATGTGACTGGCTAGTTAAAGCAGGGTATGAAGGGACTGTTCAGAAAAGAGATTAAGAATATAGTGGATTTTGCTGCTGATAGACTGATAATTCTAGAAAACATTTGAAAAGATTGTGCTTCTCGGATCATATTTTCCTATATCTGTCATCCTTTTGACTTATCTCCTTATCCTCCTAACTCATATTCTCAAGAGCAGAAACTGACCATGACTGGCCTGCCCTCAGGATTTTCTAGTCTAAATACATCATCTTGATGGTCAAGACAACTGCAATCCAGCCCCAAACCATCTTTCCAAAGATGATTCTGATAGAGCCCTCATCCACCCAACCCTCCAGCTTACCCTCCTCCCTGTCTTTGTTCCAACTCTGCTTCATCTCTCTTTACTCATCTCTCAAGCCTCTCTTCAAATCTGACCCTTCATCAGAGTTATTTCCAACCCTTCTAATGATCATTAATCTATATTCCCTATTCTTTCAAGACACATTTCACACATCTGTCTTAACATACAGCAAACACCTCTTGGTATCTTGTGTTATAGTTTCAGTTCTAGCTTCCCAACTAACCTGTGAGCCCTCTGAGACATGGCCCATGTTTTATTTATTTTTCTGACCCGCAATGTATCTTACACAGTTCCCTGAACACAGAGGGTTGTTGCCTAATAAATGGCTGAAGGTTTAATTAAATATATATTCCCAGCACACCAAAAATTACATAATTCTGTACCACACCCATCTCAGGGCAATTGCTAAAGAGCTTGGTGAATGCTTTTTTATTATACTGCCTCTGTGTACATAAAACCCCAAGCCAAGCCCTCCCACAGCCGGGCCAGGGTGGGGAAGGGATGATCCTCACCGGAATCAAGGGAGAGGAGGGAGTCTTATTCCTCACTAGAAAAGTACAAATTCCTTTACTATCCCAACCCAAGACTTGAAGAATAGAAAGTTTTTATTATATTCAGAGAATATTTGGGGCTTTAAATTTGAATTTGTTCTTGTTTGATTACTACTCCTATTTATTGGGAAAAAATAACTTTTGCTCAATTATGTTTCAGTTTCAAAAAATGACAATCACAACAGAAACTGAAGCTTGGTTCAGGATGTAGTAAATTACTGAAGCTTGGCCAGAGGTCTGCTTTCCTTTAGCTTTGAGCCTTGTTCATCTATGGCCCATGGGGTCCCTGGAAATGGAACACACTCAGAAAGAGTTGATGAAGAAACAAAGGAAGGAACCAATGAGTAAGCAACTCTGAACATCAAGGGTTCAGTTTGGGGGCCAAGACAAGGCGCAGAGCTCAGCGCTGGGACTCTTCACTCTGGTTGAAGGGCTTTCCCCACTTGCCTAAGGCCTCATTAAGTTCTCTGACTTATCATGTCTTTTCTCTCCAGTCTTAGAGTTAAGAAGGGGATAGAACCATAGACAGGAAAATTGAGGCACAGTATAGCAATGCAATACAGTTATGGCCACATAGCAAATCTGGGATGGGACAGGTTTTCAGTGAAGACCCCCAGAATCTACTCCCCTCCAGCATACTCACTCTGTATTTATTGAGATTGTGCCTCTCCACACAAGTCCCCTTGAGGCAGAACTTGCCTTCACTACAGCTGGTGCCATCTGCCCAGGGAAAGTGGCGGGTCTGGCACACCATCTGCCCCTTTGCCTTTCCAGTACACCACAGTTTGGTGCAATACTGCATGTAGGGACAGGGCTTAGAGCCCACACCAAAGGCCAGCTCACACTGCTGGCTCAGGGTGTAGCTGGTACCCGGCAGGTCCTCGGGTAGGGCGATGGGCTTGCTGGGTTGGTCTAGAAGGCAGTCGCCTGCAGAGAGTCAAGGGTATTCATTCATTAGGGGTGAGCTGAGAAAGGTGAGGCTTGGCTAGCTAGCCCAGTACCTAAATGGAAGGCAGAGAATGAAGCAAGGGGCAATGGAATGGACCCACTTCAGATCCCAACTCTTTGTGGTCACGCACACCTTAGGTAACAGTGGACAGGTTCAGAGAAGTGGTGAGCACTGCCAGCAGTGACAGCACTGATGCCCCTCCTCTGTCGTCCTGGCTTACCATGCCCGCTGTCCAGGAAGTCGGTGATGATGGCAGCACTGCAGGCTGACCAGGGATTGGCACGGTCAATCTGGATGAGCGTTGGGGACATCATGTGGTTGGCTTGGAGTTTCCCAAACACTTCCTCACAAACTTTCACATTGTCGTGGGGCATGTTGAACACATGGCCTGTGGGTGAGGCAAGAGGATTCAGTGGGCTGTGCAGTTTAGAAGGCATGGGGGTGAGCGTGGGGAGGATAAGCTGGGGAAGCTAGTGTCAGTGGTTTTCAGGCTGGTCATTTCCACCTATTGATAGATTGCTTCACAAATGTTCCCAAGATCATGTTCTCTTGTTCTCTGTCCCATCTATCAGACTGTGGGCTCTGTGACGACAGCGGTATATTTAATGTACTTTCCTCTTAGTGCTCAATTAAGACACTCTGACCGCTAATGTTCTCGGACGATATCACCAGCCAACTAGGCTGGTGCAATTGGAGAAAATCAAACAAAGCCATTGCTAAGGAAGATTCTGGCCCTGAGAGAGGATCCCTAAGGCTTCAGGACATGAGGAAGCAAAGACATGCATGTGTGTCTACATCCTGCCAACTACCCAGTGAATCCCAGAGAGACTCTGGAGGGGAGCTCTCCTACCCCATCCAGGAGCCCTTTCCAGACTTACCCAGCTCATGAGCAGTGGTGAAGGCTGATGGGAGCCCATCATCCTCGATCACTGAACAACTTCTCTTGGGGTCGCACATGGTACCCACGTCAGCCATGCCCAGAGTGTCACAGGTGGTGGCTCCACACAGGTCCTGCCAGGACAAGGGAGAAGCAGAAGACAGCCAGAAGTTAGAGGCAGTAACAGAAAGGACCTGGAAGGAAGAAAGAGCATTCCAGTTCATCCTCATTATAAGCCTAACCAGGCACAGCACCTTGTCAGCCAAGCCCTTTTTTCCAGAGGGTTGTGGGGTTATTCAAGGAATAGACCCAAGCTGAGAGAGAAAATTTCAGAAAGAAAGCTCTGTGGCTCATAAACTCTATCCAGGGAGGTCCTGTGGGAGGAAATTAGGAGGTACAAAATTAAACTACAAAGCCCATTGCTTTATATAGAGTTGGTCTTCCAGACCGGACACTGGCAACTCCCACAGCTGGGCGAGGCTCTGGTCATTGCCTGACTGAGGCAGGTGTGGGTGGAAAGCAAGCTCACTCTCCATTTAGTCAGCTCTGTGCAGCCTCGGTCGTGGCTGAGCGACTGCCCTTGGACACCCATGAATTAAGCTCAGACTCTCAGCCAAAGTGTCATTGGCCAAGGACCCTCCCATGCCTCAGATCTAGCTTCTTTGGGTTGGGAAGAGGCAGTGAGGTGGACACAAGCCCCTATCCAGGCACAGCTCAATTGCTACAGAAGCTCAAGGGTACCATGGGCTCAATGACTGCTAGGGAAAAAAATTAAATGGATTGTGACCTAAGTAGAAAGTTCCCTCTTGCAACAGGAGATAGGGCTTCCAGCAGCCACCTTGACAGGATGCACTTCCAGGGGATATGGAAAGGCAAAATGAGGTTCCTGGGGTGGATATCTCAAAGAACTCATTGAGTGTTATGAGCCAGTAATGCATCTAGATACCTTAAGAGCCCAGGATTTGAACATAGAATAAGACACTGTTGAATAGATGATGCTGGCATTCTCCTCATTACATCCTTGTCTTTAATGTGCACAGCCTTTTACAGTTAACAAGAAACTATTACATATATCACCTCATTTAATCACCACAACAGTCTTAGGAGGCAGATATATTATGATACCCATTTGTCGAAGGTGGAAACTGAGACTCATGATCATAGTTAACCATAACAATGACTTATTGAGTGATGACACCATGTGTGCACTTCGCACACATGACCTTATTGAATCGTCACAACATCCCACTGGAATAATTACTATTATTATCACCTTCCACAAGGACGGTGAAGCTCAGACAGGTACAAGTGTCAGGCAGAAATGTACCCTCAAGGTCTGTATGATTGGACACTCAGTGCTCTTTCCTACCACATCACAGCTGACTGCCCAGCAACTCCTGAGCTAACAGTCAGAAGAAAGAGCTGTGTGTGTTCTCCCCTGGGAGCCAAGATGTTTATGTAAAGGTTAGTGCAGGACATAAGGAAGCGGGGTGGGCAATGGGGCCCATATGTCCCTGGACACTAGAGTACAAGATCCCCACTAAGGCTGTAGCCTCTGAAAACTCTAGCCAGGTGGTCACAGCCTATGTTACACTGCCCCGGGGCCGCCACGTCCACTCACTGCTGGCCTTGCGTGTGAGAGAGGGCACAGGAATAAGAACTGAGAAGTCTAGATTCTGGTCCTGGTCCCATCACTTAAGTAGATGTGTGACTTTAGGCAAGTCACTTCTCTCCCCAGGGCCTCAATTTCCTCCTCTGGTGATGGGCCAGTTCTCACCTAGAACCCAGACTGTACCAGTGCCTTAAGTCTCTGCTCCTTCCCCAATCCCAGGTGCTCAGCCCCTTCTGGTCTTCAAGGTTATAAAAAGAACACAAAGACTGATATACTTTTAGAATGGAAACACCCTGAGGATGATATTGTCCCCTGACCCATGTTGTGTAGGATAAAACTAACTCACAGAAAGTGAAGGTTACCCACGTGGAAGTTCAGAGTCTTATCCTCCTCTGCTCATCAGAAATGACTAGAGCAGATGGGGAGCTCAGACCGCGGTCTAGGCAACCACTGGAACTCAGCTGGTCGGCAGGCGCCTCTGTGGCTAAGAGGTCCTTAAAGCCAAAAGCCTCCTTCCTCTCAGGGAGGGTGGACTCTCTCTGGAGCAAAGACATGCAGCTGCAGGCCCTTCCTGGCCAGAAGCAACCTGTTCTTTCCATCAAGAAATCCAGTTTCCCTAGATCAAATGAAAGGAACAAGGAAAGAGCCGGCAAATTTTCTGAGGGTCAGGGTATAGCTGAGAGCAATTCTACGGTAACAACCAGTGTCTTCACTGGGAGAAGATGCAGCTGTTTGGGGTCAGAGGCTCTGCCTGCTCCTCTTCTGCCAGTCGGATTCGCTGGGCCTTAGTCCTGTGAATGTCAGCAGGCAATGTGCGGGGCCCATCGGGGCCTTGTTTGTGGCAATGAAGGTCTCCACCCTTCTGGAATGAACTCAGATACACGCAGGCTGCTTTAACCTCTTCAGCTCTGGCTCTTGTCTCCAGAAATAGAAACTGTTCTGGTTCTTTCTGCTTGGAAGGTGTAGGCACTTCACAGCACAGCCCCTACCTGCCTCACTGCTTCTGATGATTCGTCATTTCTCCTTTTCCAGATGACAGCTGCTTTTCCAGATGTCCCAAGAATCATCTTAGCTAAGAACCTAATCCTCCTGAGTTATTCTCTTCTAGCTGTCCCTTTCTATAAAATAATTTAGGCTTGGATTTGAAATCATGGGGTTTGAAAATAAATAAATAGATAGATAGATAGATAGATAGATAGATAGATAGATAGATAGATAGATAACACCTTGCAGCAGCTGGATCCATTTTACCAAGGTTGCTCTCTACATGCCCACCATGACTACCACCAGCTGTCTTCCCTACAGACCACCTTCCCATCTCCTCTCATTTCTCCTGTCATGTACTGGGGTGCTCAATATTTTCCAGCAGTACGAGACCCACAAAATTCAAGCACATTAACAGAAGATAGATGTGTTCTCAGGTAGCTGACTTCCTGCTCACATTGAACTCCTGGCATGTGAGCCAGTGCCCATGTTCACGGCCACATCATAGCATTCAATATTATACTCACAGAACTTCAGAGCCATCCCGTCTTTCCACAGATGAGCAAACTGAGGCTCAGTGAACTCAGATTACTCACCCAAGACTACATGGCTAGTTGGTAAAGAATGTGGTCCTGAATCCATGCCTTGTAACACCAAGGCCAGCATTGGTCTTTGGTCTGAATTGCACCACACTAGTTAGGATGTCATAATTACTGGTAAGAACCATCTGCACTAGTAGTAATACTGTCCCTTTAACTTGTTTCCCATCTGAATCTCTTGTCATGCATCACTATATTTCCCCATCTAACCCAAAATCCACTTGTTTATAATCCCCAAGAATGGGAGGACCTTGCTTTGCCAGAAGAGAAAAAAAAACTCTAGCACTTCAGTGTCAGGGCAACATGACTAAGGATGCCTGGTGAAGAAGAAGATAACATGCCCTATACCTTCTATCAGCAGATTCAATTTCACGGAATACAAACCCTTCAAGATGTACAAATGCTATCATAGCAAGAGACTGAGGTAACCAAAATAAGAACTACCTCAATGCAGATAAGAGGAACCCAAAGCTGTCAGGAAGAGCAAACTTCTCTGAAAATCACCAGTTCAAGAGGGGGTACATATCAAATATAAGACTCCCTCTCTCAACCCTGCAGCCTGACAGCCTAAAACAATGTCGGTTAACATTTATTGAGTTGTTACTCTGTGCCAGACACTGTTCTAAGAGCTTTATCTTTATTAGCTCTTTGAATCCTCACAACAGCTTTCTGAAGGAGATGTCATTAGGAAGCCCCATCTTACAGATGAGACCCAGAGAAGATAAGTAACTAGGCCAGGGTCAAACAGTGAGCCCAGGTTAGGCAGAGAGGGAGAGGCCGCAGGAAGGTTGAAATCCAGGCAGTGCAGCCTCAAAGCTGAGCTCTTCCCACCAGTCCATACTGTTTCCGGTGCACACGTACCCCAAGAATGAATGGGCTGGGGAATCTCCAGAGGGCAAGGTTATCCACGCCATACCCCTATCCCCCAGAGCACAGGCTGGTCTCTGAGTGGGGAAAGGCCGGAGGAGAGGAGAATGGCAGGATTAAGTGCCAAGAGTGCTCTTAGAGAAGTGTCTACACTGCCTCCCTAGATGAGTAAGCCCCTGGCTCCATGCCCCACACCTGCATTGACACACTGATCCCATCCCTGCTGTCTGCCCTGCCTGCTGGCTCTTCACCGGGGCTCCTCTTTTCTCCAGGGAAAAACCTCAGGCAAAGAGCCAAGATGAAGTGACAGAAGAACCTAAGACTCCCTCTCTCAACCCTGCAGCCTGACAGCCTAAAACAATGTCGGTTAATGATTCCCAAACTGCCTCAGCACCCGTAGCTACATGCAGTCCTCTCATTATGTCAGCACCTTCCTTTCGAAAACATATACTAAACAATGGTGTGCAGGGGCCCATCGGAGGGCAACAAAGATGTAAAGACATCCCGCTTTAAAGGAGCTTACAGTTCATTGGGACTGGCATATGCTGGAGTCCATAGTTTCCACACAAAAACAGGAATATGTCATCAGACAAGTGTTAAGTAAACTTACAAGGGCAATGGAACAAGTTTATCCCAAATGTAAATTCTGGCAAAGGACCTGTAGGTAATCATTCAGCAAAAACAAACATATACAGTAGTCCCCCCTTATCCACAGGATATACCTTCCAAGAACCCCCTGGTGGATGTCTGAAATCAAGGATAGTACCGAAATCTATACATACCTATGTGAAAGTTTAATTTCTAAATTAGGCTAAAAGTTATTTGAATGTAGTCTATCTCTCTCTCAAAATATCTTATTGTACTGTACTCACCTGTTCACCTAAAGCACTTTATGGCTTCTCATTGGCATACCCAAATTGCCAGCATCAGTACTCTTGTACTTTGGGGTAAGTAAAATAAGAGTTACTTAAACACAGGTACTGCAATACTGCAACAGTCGACCTGCTAACCCAGAGAGTGACTAAGTGACTAGTGGACAGGGAAAGTCTACAGAATGGAGAATCCAGACAAAGTGATGATTCATATCCTGGGCAGAGGGAGTAGGACTCACGAGATTTTATCATGCTACTCAGAATAGTAGCATAATAATAAATAAATAAATAAATAAATAAATAAATAAATAAATAAATAAACTAATAAACAAACAAACAAATAATTTATTTCTAGAAGTTTCAACTTAATAATTTTGGAACTGGTCAACCTCAGGTAACTGAAACCATAGGTAAGAGGGGACTAATGTACTGAGTAACTACTAAGGTAGTGATGATAACAGCGGCCATTAACCGGGTGCCTATACTAGAACACTTGGTAACTTATCCTTGCAATGACCTTTTAAGTTAGTTACCATCATTGCCATTATCCTCATTCTATGGATGAAGTAGCCAATTCATTCAATGTGAGTTGCTAAAAGTGCAAGTTTTAACACTCAGCTCTGCCCAACTCCAAGCCTGTGTTCTTCCCATTGTGCCAAGCGACCAAGTCCAGGAGTCAAGGTGAGGTGAAAGTAAGTGCGGAGCGATACAACTGAAGAGAGGTTCGATGGAAGAAGAAAAGCAAGACCTAAGGATGGAGAAAACCCCATTTGCCTTCTTGACTAAACCAGTGTTTAAAAGAAAGATTCCAGTGTGCATTACCATTGGCTGACTTACTTGATGTAAGTAAGAAAGGAGGAAGAAGAAGAATCACCCTACAAGTCAGGGAGCAATCCTACTCTACTCTTTCTTCTCCCCACACCTTCCTCCCAGAAGGAGTGGTATTGAGTTTCCTTTTAGTGGTATTCACAAAACATTAAACACCAAATCTACAAATGCCCCTCTCTGTTAATATCTTCCAAGGTCTAACTTCAAAAAAAGATCCTGATAAAATTATGATTCTTTTTACTGCATTGGGAGATATCTATAAAATACATATTATCATTTTATTTTTTAACATTTTATTTTTTACCTGAACACTAAATTTCACTGCCATATTGCAACTAGTTTCTTATAGAAAGAATGACTTCTATTTCAAAAGAGGTTCCAGAATGCTGTTCCACTCTGGATAGCTTAGAAGATATCCTCCCAAAAGATATAAATGTGTTCAAGGCCCAAACAAGAAACCCCAAGCTTGGGCTTGTGAGAGATGGAAAGGTGAAAGTATGAATGAAGAAAATCAAAGAGAAGGGAAAGGTGACAAAGAGCCTGCCTCAATAACCCCAAAAGAGAAAGAGGAGAGCATGAAGAATACAGGGAAAGAAGAGGACAAAGGAACGACTTAAAGTGATACGAAGCCCGACAGAGGAAATAAACTGAATGAAGGAATAGCAGTCAGAAAAACCACAAATTATATAAATCCTAAGAAAACAAAGTCAGTCTAAAGGAGGAAATGTCACAAAAGCAAAACATGGTCAAATAGAGAAAAGGGCTTCTACGAGGTAGACAACAAGCTTCCTTCCCCATCACCACCAGCTCCCCACCTCAGTGCCTTTCTCCAAGCTAAGAAGAATGACACCCCACTGTCCCTCAGTGCCTTTCTCCAAGCTAAGAAGAATGATACCCCACTGTGCTTCCAACAGTGGAGGGGTCAAGCCTCCCCCAGGGCACTTAACATACCATATTGAAATAAGCTGTCTTCCTGTTGGGCTACCTGACACATAGTGAATTCCTGGCAGCCAGAGGATATATCTTACTAATATCAGTATTTGCAGCCTTGGATAGTTCTTGAAAATAATAGATGCTCAATAAGCATTAAAAGAAAGGATGAATAAATTAATGAAAGCCAGCCTATCACAAAGTTACCCAAACAGCAGAAGCATTGGACCCTGAAGAGAGAAGATGGGGAAACACAGTCCTACTGAGTCTCAGCATGAAATATTGGCTCCTGCTGCCCAATGCAACTAGAAGCCACAGAAATTTTTCTCTTCATAGAAATAACTGTCCACCCAGAAAGACTGGCTCTACTTCTCCACAGTCCTGGTTCCAATCCTGTGCTGACCTCACCCTGCTGTTATGAGGCTGGAAGCTGATCGCTTTGCAAAATCAAATGTGCACTCTTTCTCTAGAAACATGAACTTTTTCTGAATCTTTAAGTAAACTTCACAAATTGTCAAAATACTTGTCATATGATCAATTTTTTCTCCTTTGTGCACAGTAAAGAATACTCCCTGCGTCTTGTCTTCACAGTGTTTTGATTTCAACACCCCACACCCCTCCCTCTGCCTGCCAAGGGAAGACATCAGCATCTCCCCATAGCCTGGCCCAAAATCGTTTTCATGCACTGCGGCTCTGTAGGTGGAAGAGGGCGCTCCAGTGCTGCTCTCCTCTCTGGTACCCCTAACACCTGGAGCTGTAAGGGAACAAGCCCAACCCCTTCCTAACTGCTTCCTCCCTGTGGAAACCACAAATAGAGTATGATTAGTCAGAAAAAATTACTAGCCATGTTTCAGATTTCTCTGGGGGAACTAAGAAATAGGTGACTCTAAAGGTGTCCATCAGTTCCCGATCCCATATAGATGAAAGGTGATTTATAAAGTAAGCACATTTCTAAAAACTTCTTATCCAAATAAACTACATATTTGTTATATGTGTGTGTAACAGATGTATAATATATATCCAAATTTTAGTTTGAAATGCATCAATTATACTAACGTTATAATAAACCAGATTTAAGCAGAGCAGCTCATACATCTGACTTAAAGGATTACTACTGACCCTTGCAAAGTAAAACAAAAGTCCCTCTTATGTTGGAGAGTAGCAGAAGACTCCTCCAGGTTCCCGGAGACCACATCTCCGGGAACCACATCTGCCCTAGTCTAGAAAGAGCAGCTGTGCACGCATGTTCTCATCACATACTGTACCTTCCTAAGGGAGTTCAGGAATGAGCAATTCCTAAGACTCTGAGAATGCAGCAGGCCCTGAAGTCTGTCCTGGCAAGGAGGCGAGGGAGTGCTGTTTACTCTAAAGCATACTTGAAGGATGGAGCTGCCAACACAACCTCCCCTCTTTCTGGTTTTGCCCTCTAGACATCTAAGAGAAAGACGGCTTCTAAAAGTCACATCTTGTGCATCGCTGCTTCTAATCCAAGTGGTCATACATCTTGTACCCATTATGCATGGTCGACGCAGCCCCCTGGGGGTCCAGCACACACCACTGACAAACAGAAGCTGTCACGCTGTTTGATGGCTTCTTCCTCAAAAGGCAGATTCTTCTGATGTCATGGCCCATATTCCCAGCAGGAGTCTTCTTTCTAGGGCTGGTTCCAAAAGTCAGCCTAGCCACTAGGCAACAGAGACTGAGGTCTGATACTTTAGAGCCAGCAAGTGACCTCCACAGGGGCATCCCAGGTAGCGGATGGACAACAGATGCTTTGCCCATTAAGATATCCTGTTCTCGGCTTTTGCTTTTTTTCCCCCAGCAATCTGACTGCCAAGTTGGTGTGTGTGCAGAGGTTGAACACCTCTTTTGTAGTTTCCCCATGACTTGTAGGGGCCAGCCGGTGGCAGTTCTACAGACCTCAATTGGAAGAATAAGCGCAAGGAAACAGACGCAGGCCAAAGACCTCCCTAGAGAAACCAGGTGGTGGGAGGAGAAGTCTGGGAAAAGAGGAAGTTCAACTCCAGAAAGAGACTAGCTGTGCCAAATGGGTTAGTGTGGAAGACGCCAGCTCCAGCCCTGTGTGCACCAGTCCAGCTTCGAGGGGCCATTTGGAAGCAGTAGAGATTCAGAGCCCCACAGGTAACCATGGATTCTGTGCCATCCCCAGAATGCTGTGGTTAGAATAACAAAACAAGAGCATGGCACACATTCAAGTCTCAGCCCCCAAAATCAGAGGAAGCAAGTCATGTGGATGCCCTTTTTCCTCCCAGTCTCCAGTATCTGATAAATTACAAAACTCCAAAACACCACTCCTCCATTTACAAATCTAAATTCTCATAGATCCATAGCAAAAGGCAGAGTTGCTTTTCTTATCTGCTTTTCTGATCTGACCATCTTTCTAATCCCAATATTCAGTATCTTGCCAACCCTGTAGCTAGGGTCTCTAGATGCTCTTTATTGAGTTCGTACCACTTCCACACTGCCAGCGGCAGAAGCTGGAGCCCTACAGCTAGGAGTGGTCATAGGAAGTTTCAGTGAGTTGGGGTCATAAACAACCTTGCCTACTCTGCTCCACAGCATACAACAAGGCAGACAGGTCACCCTCTGCCAACAAGGACATGGGAAAATTGAAAGTGATATTCCCAACTCAGCTCCCAGGGAAACTCCACTTGAAACTCCAGGCTCCACACAGGTGCCCTAACTAGATTGCCTGCTCTGAATGGACTGGAAGCCCCTCAAAGAGAAGACAGGCCCAGCACAAAAGAGTTTAAGAGAAACAGCAATGAAGGAGGGAGTGATCCTGGTACTTCCATCTGTCCTTTCACTGCAACCCACAAAATATCCCAGACCCAGGACAGAGAGAATAACTGAACATGTTACCCATGAGAAATGCAGCCTGGCGCTGACCTGGGCGGTTTGGATCACCTTCCAGTTCTACAAACAGAGGGAGGAAACCTGGGAGGAGGTGTCTGAATGGACTCTGACGCCCCCATAGAAAGGAGCTGACGTCTCCCGCCCTATCCAAAGCCATCGTCAGAGCGCCTCCTATCCGCTTTGGAGACAAACTGCGGCTTCTGGGCGGCAACTTCCTGGGTTCCGGCCCCTCAGCGCCTGATCTAGGAGGTGCTGATTGGCCAAGCCAGGCCAACACCTTCTGAAGGAGAAGGCTCTCCCCGACTGGCCACGTGTATCCAGACACACGTGAGCTAGAGCTCTGCTGAGGGTAGAAGCGGGCTCTCCCTAGAATATTCAAAATGAGACTAGGAAGAGATCAACGAAATTTAAACTCGGGGGCATTGGTCAGAATAAAGGGCATTTGGAGAGCTAGGGTCGGTGACCCTAAAAAATGAAGCTATCTCAGTCCAAAGAGGTGACAGATCAACTCACCTGCCTGGTGAAGAGGATGGCGGTGTCCCAGTACTCAGGGTGCTTGTCACTCACTTTGTTCAGCTTCTTCTGCCAGGCGCAGAAGTTGCGAAGCGTCAAGGCCGCATTGCCGGTGACCTTGGGCCCCGCGTCGCGGTCTCCAAGAAGTAGCACCTTGACCACGACGATGCTAATGGGATTGAGGATGCTAGGATGGCGGTAGAGTTGAGCCGCCGTGGCCAGCAACGTCAGCAGATAATGCTCCAAGTCTGCACCGTGGAACTTGACCATTGACTCATCTGCTACCACCAGTGTCTCCACGTACCGAGGGATAGACACGAAGCGCTTGGCGCGCCCAGACCTGCGGCGGCTGCGACTCTCCCCTAAACCCGTCCGCCGAGGCTTGTAAGAGTCCAGGGCCCGCAGGATGGCCGGGTTCCAGCCTGAGGCCACCCCGCAACGAGAGGTAGGATCTCCTAGAGGCCCGCCGGGGGCGACCCGCCGCTGGAGGAGATGTGCGCCCTGGCTGTTGCGGTGCGCCGCGGGCGCACTGGCGTTGGTCAGTGGACTAATGACATACTCGGCGCCTCTGTAGCCGAAGGCTCCGCGTAGCCCGCCGCACAGGCTCACAGCAGCAAACGAATCCGGACCGGCATTCACGTCCCCAGAGTAAAAGCAACGTCTCAAGACTGGAGCGCTCCGGGTGAGCCCCTGAAGAGGGACGCCCAGATGTTCAGTGAAGAAGGCGGGCGCCAGGAACTGAGCATCCGGTGTCAAGTGTAGATAGAAGTCCTCCTGAAACGCTGAGATCTGAAAAATGAGCCCTTGATCCCCGGGGTCCTCTGGACCGCGCCGGTAGTAGTGGCGGCCGTTGATGTCCGGGTCCAGTCGAATGGGCACCACCACCTCCCGCTCTGACTCTGAGCCGCCCGCAGTTCCCGCGGCGAGAGTCAGGGTTAAGATGCTTAGTAGAAGCATGGCGCCGGGCAGCGAACCGCCGCGGTCTCGGAGCGGCCGCCGGCACGATCTCTGTGCAGCCCGCGCACCGGAACCACCAACGCTGCGGGCAGCCGACAGCTCCCAGAAAGGAGAGCAAAGGGAAGGCGACTCCTCCCAGAGCTGTGAGAGTCCGCCGGGTAGCCCGCACCTACCTGCGCCTTCCCCAGCAAAGCGCGCCCCGGGAACTTAAGTGCAATCGCTGTCAAGTGCAAGGACCAAGACTTGCAGCCGAGAACTAGAGCGAGGTGCCGGACCGCTTCTCCGAACAGCAGCTACTCCTAGCGCCACAAACCGGGAGCTGGGCGAGCCTATTAAAGGCCCTTTCCTCTTCGGACTGCCCAGTCGGCGCCCCTCCCTCTCTCCCCTCCCAATCTCCCAAAGCTTGAAGCCCCGAGCCTCCAGGGGCCACCGAAGAACTCGGTCCCGCCTCCAGAGCCGAGAGCCACTTGGCGGGGAGGGAGTGGCGTTGCGCTGAGGCAGGAGGCGTGGGCTGGCCAGAGAAACCAGCACTGGAGTCTCGGTTCGCGTTTTGCCCTCGCGTTATGCCCCAGTGGCCGACACATCGGTTACTTCGGTTCCAGCGTATATCTGTCCACTCCCTGAGTGTTAGTCTTTATCTTGAGGCAGTTTGGGTGAGGAGCTGAGAATGAAGACCCAGCACGGATCCCGTCTCCCAGCCCCTGTTGTTGCAAAACCCCTGCTGTTTTTTCATCACAATGTCCCCTGAAAGACCCAGAACCAAGAATTATCCCTGTAAATGTCCTATTGCCAGAAAGGCAACTTCCCAGGAACATGGAGAGCCCACCTGGAACTCAAGGCCGCCTAGGCCCACAGTCTGCCCAGGGAGCTGTGATGCGCTGAATGGGCTGGTGCAGACTGTTAAGTTTTCAGGAATTTTGTCAGTCAACTGTTAAACACAGCCATTATTAAAAGTTAATTATATAAACTTACAATTATGAATTATGTTTAAAAACAAATCCCATCACTTCTTAATTGACTATCATCTATTCTTTTGAGCCTCTGAACCACCAGCCCTCCAGAACAGCTCACAGAAGAGAGCAGAGGGAGGTAGAAGTAGGATGGAAATGTTACTCTCCATATCTCCACCCAGGGACATCACAATAAGAGCTTAAAATAGGTCCCGGTAGGAGTAGTATTACACCGAAATCAGCAAATGCTACCACTCAGGGCTTGGGGAGGAGAGGGGAGCCCTCTGGTCAGCAATGACCAGCACACCAAGGCCTGGAGAAGAAGTAGAGAAAGAAGTTGCCTTCCCACCAGGGAGGGGCTGAGGGACCCGTGGACATAAAAATCAGAAGATGCTTCCTCCATGAGTTTATCTCATTTGATCCTTGACCAAGTGTCATGCAGGGCACTGGAGTGAGAGGCTGAGTGTGAGTCATGAAGACAGATCAAGCCATGAGTTTCCATCTAGTTTGGAGGGGAATCTGAGGAGCTCTGTCTCAGGCTTTCGTCTTCTAGATCCTCCTTATTGCTCGATAAAATCAATGTCTTTCTTCTGGCGAGGAAGAAAGACAAGAAAAGTAAGGAAAGTTTTCCTCATCTCCCTTGATACCTAGAAAATCTTCCCAGAACCAAAAGGCTCTGAGTTGAATTTAGAAGAGGTGAGGACAGGAAAGGGGTGTATACAGTGATCTGAAGCATAAAAAGGAGATGGTGTGAAAGAATTTTGAAATTTTCTTAGGGAAGTGGCTGCTCAAATAAACAACTCTATTATTGAAGGGAAGAGAATGCTGGGACCTGTCCATCAGCGAAGAGCACTTTTTGCCCATTATCTTCTCCCCATAAAGCATCCACTCTTCAAAGAGCATCCTGTTGCCTTGGAACAGGAAGACTGCCCAGATGCCCATAGTTCTCTATGGGCATCTGGGGGACCCTCTTCAATTGAGATGCATAGGGCTGAAATTCATTATGTGAATGAGTAAGACATGGGTGTTTATGCCCTATAAATGAAAGGGAGATTGTGCATATGGAAGGATTCTGTGTGAGAGAGAGGGAGTTCAAGTTTACAAAGGACTTGTGCTTTTGAGTATTTAAAGAGGGACTATAATTAAAGAGAAACTCGGACAACCAAGGGCAATCATAAGCCACTTATACAGGGCAAGCAATTGTTCTCCTACACCCAGCAGCTTAAATGGTGGGTTACAAGGTTTCCAAAGACATTTTACTTTCACTGTGATCAGTGGGATTTGGCAAGGGCTACAGCATGTCACAGCCCAGTCACAGCCCAACTGTCTCACCCCTGAGCACCAAAACCAAACAGAAGAGTGGACTTTCTCAAAGGTACTAGCATACATTGAGCACTTACTCTGTGCTAAGCATGACACCAAGAGTTTTATGCACATTATCTTGTTTAATGCTTGTCTTTTCCTTCTTGAGAAGTTGCAGGTCTGTCCGATCAATTTGGCAGGGGTTCCTAACCAGGAACTGAGGGTTTAGGGATCTGCTGGAGTACATACAGCTCTGGAGTAGAAGTTAGGAGAACTCAGCATTGATACTCTATTTACAAAACTGATCTGATTCTCTGACTCTTAATTTTCTCACCTGTCAAAAGAGGAGCGATTATCCTAGGCCCGAGGTCTTCAGTCACAAGGCTGCATCAGAAATCTCTGGTCTAGATAAAATAGAGATCACTCCCAGATCAAGTATTACATGACCGTTTGAGGCCTGTGGAAGGCAACACAGCATGATGACTTAAGAGGCCAGGCTCAGAGTACCTAGATGTGCATCCTGGCTCCACCAATCTTAGCTGTGAAATTGTGCATAAGTTACTCTACCCACTAAGCTCCAGCTTCTTTATTATTAAAATTAGGATAATAATACTACCTATGTCTATAGTTACTAGAACTATATAAGTTCTTACTTTAAAAAGTGCTCAGAAGTGCTTAATACATAAAAATAGTTTTTTAAATATGACCTAACAGTACTATTATTATTATTAATAATATGGTTATTATTATTTATTATTATCACCAAACCTTACTTGGCCCTCTGAGATGACTGTCATCATCACCTTCTAAAGTTTTCTGGTATTCCTTACAAAGAAGAGAGGAAAGCTTATGGGAACACTCTCTCCCACCTCTGCTAAGGGACTTCCAATGTCACGTCAGCAGCCCTACTTCCATATGAGGATTCTGTAATTTCCATCCTCTTGTTTCTCCCTGTCCTCCATGATTTTTGGGAAATAAAAAGCAACTCCTTCCCCAAAAGAAAGACCGGGGTCCTAGCCCATGCTGTCAAATCTAAACACCTCAGTTTGGCTGTTTATGCCTTTCGACAATTAGTTTCCCCTCTTCATGTCCTTCAGCTCTCAGCCCAAGTACCACTCCTCAGAGAGGCCTCCCAAGGCCACCCGACCAAATAAGCCCCAAATCATGGTCATGATTACATGTTTTATTTTGTCCATAGCATTTATTTCTATTTAAACCCATTTTGTTCACTTGGATCTTTACTTTTCCCTCACTACCAGTTAGAATGGGAGTGGGATCTTATCTGTCTCATTCACTATTATATCCCCCATAGCCTGGTACAGTGCTTGGCAAACAGGAGCTCTTCATTAATACTGAATGATTAATTGACTCGATTCTAATCTCAGCTTGGTTGGTCACAGTCTGTAAAACTCTGGGCAAGATACATCATCTAAAATGGGGATAAGTCTACTCCTAGAAGTGCCTAACACAATGTTCCCACAGTTATTAACTTTCTACACCTCCATGACAGAAATCTTAAAATAGCCCTTGTCACCTAGCCTAGTACCCACATTTTATAGTTGAGGCAGCTGAGGAGAGATAAAATTACTTGTCTAAGGAGACCCAGTCACCTGCTTTGCTCATCTCATAAACACATTTCCCTTTATCCTTTGCATGAAAATCTAGCTCTACCTAAATTAATTAGCTTAACTTCAGTTCAGAAGCTGTTATTTCAGTATGCAGAGCTTTATGTAAGCCATTTCTCCCACAGAAGATGCCCTCTCAACCTTACCTCTGCCTACCTATGTAACTCACACCTCTTCTAGGAAGTTATTTAATTGAACTCACACAGCTTTCACTGCTCCTTTTTTCTCCGTTCCTTCAGCGTACATGTAATCCATTTCTAGCACAGGAATATTCCACTTTAACTTGCTTGTCCTTTGCTAATTAAATGTTAAACCTTTTCCTCAGACCGTACTATAGCCACCTTGGACTGGAAACTCATTAAAACCAGGACTTACTCATTTTTATTATCAGTCTCTATGACACTCCCCAGAGCAGGTGTAGACTTCTTAGCTGAGCCAGATGGGTGCAGGAGGTTCCAGGTAGAAGATGAACAGCCCAAAACGATGATGCACTGAGGCTAGAAGGAGGCAGCCACAAGAATTCGGTTCGGAGACTTAGAGTTCACTTCTATCAGATCCTGACTATTCACCAACATTAGCACCAAGGATGGCTTCTGCCTGCCTGTAAAAGCAAGCATCCTGGAGTATCTCCCCAAATGAGAGAAAAGAATTAAAGAGAAAGGAAAGTGGCGTAGGAAAGCAGGAATAAGCTCCATGGTCTCAGCAAGGTTTCAATGGAAGGGGAAGTAGCTGAAAGAAAGTTCCCAGTTCCTCAGATCAGATATTATTAAATCATTGGCTTATTATGTGAAGATTTAGATAAAGTTCTACACAGAAAAAAATTTAAGAACTTACCATGTTTTGTGTGTGCTTCATGTCTCCACCATTCTTTGTCAAAGATCTCTAAAAATCCCAGCTGTTCTTAATCTGTTCTTCATGGATACTGTGCCACAGAGATGGGCAAAGCAGATGACAGCTAGAAAGGTACAGGCTTTGGGAAGCTTCTTGGAAGGCTCAAGAAGTGATCTGCATCATCCACTGGCTTCCACGAGTGCTAGTCCCCTTAGCCAGTCCTCTGCCAGATGTGAAGAGAGCTGAAGCAGCTGGAGATTCATCTAAGGCCCCTTGAATTACACCTCTGGGC